AAAAAATTTAATAAATAAGAATGAACATATACAACAGACTTTCTATAAGCAAAAAGGTATATGTCAAACGCTTATAAATGCAAATAACAAACATGTTAATTAATTTACAATAACATTTGAGTATCTCTTTTTTTTTTCTCTTGGCACTTTCTTTTATGTCATTACTTTTTTTTTTCATGCATACTAGTGGACATTATTATCATTTATTTGTATGCAATATTACATTGTTGTTCCTTTGGATTTTTTTTTCTGCTGTAACTATTTGCCTGCTGATTTGCCTCTACGGATAGAATTAACTGATTTATTATTTACCCTTATGTTTGTTTCCAAGGCATTGCTGAACATTGACCATAAATAATGTCAATTTTGTGGCTGGTCCACATAATCCTCACGTGTCTGCATATAGGTTCTTACGACCGATTTATAGTATCTTATTGATGATCTTTCCCTGGTCAGCTCTCTATCTTCATGCAGCCTACTTCTGCAGTCAAAGTGGGCTACACGCTGATTTAAAATGCAAATACAGTAGGTCAGTAGTCTCTGCTGTTAGAGGAATATCTTGAGACACATTTGTCTTGTTCCTCTGGTAATGTGAGATTTTCTCCCACAGAAAACAAGTTAAAGGATTGATGAATGTTTGCTGCGCTGCTTTGCCTTTAGGATGTGTCTTATTTTGAAATATATGTACCTTGTTTGTGTTACATTGTTTCCCTTCTGAAAATGGGGACTGGGAAACAACTCTGAATAGGCTTCAGAATATTCAGCTGTTCAGTACAAGCATTATCTTCTGTTCTGTGTAAGATGGCTCAGTGTTTTTGGGTATTTTACCTCAGTTAGCATGGCTGCATACTCATGTTAAATATCAGGAAATACTTAAAATATTGGTTTCTGTTTTCCAGAGAATGTGAGCGATTGGGGTAAAGTGGTGCTGGCGTATGAACCTGTGTGGGCCATTGGGACAGGCAAGACAGCCTCACCTGAACAGGTTATTTTTTTATTGTTTTCTAATTCATTCTGGCCATTTAAAAAATAAAAATGCTATTATTCAAACTGATCGCCAGTTATTTTTTTCACAACAAACCCCAATACTGTATACTCACATCTGAGGGCTGACATTTAGCCAGTGTCAGCTGAGCTCCAACAAAATATCTTTGATTTCTTATGGAATTAATATTTATGTAAAAACTAAAAGTTGTCCATGTTCCAGATAAACAAACTGGAATAATGAAGGTTAATTAATTAAAGGTTTTAGATTTTGGTAAAATTTGTTCCGTTAAACAGGAATTCAACTGTAATTTCCTTGTCTAAGGTTCACATTTGAATGTGCAATTTTGTGTGGTATGTGTGTCCAGGCTCAGGAGGTCCATGAGAAGTTGAGGGCGTGGCTCAGATCCAACGTGTCAGACGACGTGGCCGACTCTGTGCGCATCATCTACGGAGGTCAGTAATATTCTTTTTTGTTTATGTCAGTTTAACCTAGGCCCTGTTTGGATGGTCTTAGCGATGTGTGTATTTGCCAGCCTGTCCTCCTACAAAAAACGACCATATAGGTCGATTGTTCAGCAGCTTATTACGACCCATAGTCATGTTTTAAAGTGTAGCACCTCTAGTGGTCGTGTAAGAAACAACATGCTCCCATTGATTGCAAACGCTCCGGAGGGTCGTTTATTCACAAATAACCCTCTCTGGAAAATCCTAAATTGTAGAATAGTTCGGCAATTAAAATGCTTTTTGATTCGATTTCTAGCGAGAAGTGTATTTTGTACTTTTAGAATCTACGTCCAGTGGATGTGTTGGATCTACAGTTTGATAGATATTACGAAGATGATTTGAGGTCTCGGCAGGAGAACGTGTAGTATAATAAGTCTTTCCGCAGCGTCCATGTAAAGTTGGCGTCAACCCTCACGGGGTGAAAACAGTATTTCCGGTCTCAAAGTTTTCATATTTTTTCCCTTTTCCTGTAGTGTGAAACAACTTGATTGTAGTCCTATGTTACTTCTTTAAAGGTGACCTATCATGCAAAATGCACTTTTGTACCTCTTTTATACATGAATATGTGTCCCCGGTGTTCCAGGGAACTCACCAAGTGTCAGAAAACACAACCCTCTCTATTTTCCTCCATACCCAAATCTCTTAAAAAGGGGCTGCAACAGATCTGATACAGACTGATCCAGATTTGAACACTTCTATGACGTCACAGAAGTGGTGCTACGGCTATTGGGCCAACTCCACCAATCAGGAGGAGACAGCCACGGACATTGCCGTTCGAAAGCGCTGGAGACGCTGTAGTAGATATGCCAGGCCTGTAGATGGTGCTGTTCTCACAGAATCAGCCCATCAAAGACAGTGTTAAATTGAGCGAAATGAGGAATAGCTAAAATGCGTGATCTGTTTGGTATTTTGAAAAATATAAAGTATAAATATGCCTTATACAGGTATGGTCCTACACTATATTATTCAAATATAGCATGATAGGTCCACTTTAACAAAGTGAAATCACTACGTGATACTTGCGCTTCTATTGGCTAGCTTTTCTAACACATTTGATGTGATAGGTTAAGAGGAGGGACATCTCTAAGCTTGACTAAGTTGACCAATCACAACAGAGCCGGCCAGCTAACCAATTAGAGCAGACTGGGCTCTTGCTGCTCACTGCTGTAGCATGGTCAGTAGCTACTGTCAGTAGCTAAGTTGACATGGAGAATTACATGAACTACATTTAGCTAAATCCACCGTGGGGCATAAACAAAAGGGCAACCTGCTTTTGGTGTATTTTGTGGCGAAAGTACAGCGCCACTTACAGGCCCGGCATATGTACTACAGCGTCTCCAGCGGTCTCGTGCGGAAGTACAGCGCCACTTACAGTTCCAGCTCCCGAGCGGTCTGGTGTGAACGGAAAACTTTTTTGATATCGTATTCGGTTAGTTTGCGTTTCGTATGCGTTTGAGTTTGTGTGTAAATGGGGTCTTAAAGGCCTTCACACACAGACGGGTGGTTCCATGTAAATGACAAAGTACTCAATTAATTTAGTGGAACTATTGTTTTCTCATGTTTTGCACAGAAGGTGGCACCCTTGCTAATTTGATAATTTCCCACATAATCCCCTTTGTTTCTCCCTCTGTGTCCACCAGGTTCAGTAACGGCAGGTAACTGCATAGAGCTGGCGTCACAGAACGACGTGGACGGCTTCCTGGTGGGTGGAGCCTCTCTGAAACCAGAGTTTATTGAAATCATCAATGCACGTGCTTAACGGACGCAGCTTTGGCTCCATCAGCCAGCCCTTCAGATTGACAACATGTCTCTGTAAACTGGGCTGAATGATCAGCAGGTCCGAAAATAAAGTTTTATTTTGCTAAATATATGTTATGAAAGAGGTATAGAATTAATTTAAAGTAAATATCTTTATATTTTGTGGTCCTTGGTTGTCATATGTTGTATTTTCCTCTTTAATGTATTGCCCCGGAGTATTTTGATGTTCTCAATTGTGTCTTAAACTCTGTTTAAATGTTGTATTAACGATGCACTCTCACCCATATGCACTAACTGTTACTTCAGGGCCCTTGACAATAAAAGCTTTTCACAGACTGTACTGTTTATATATCTATATACTATATAGATATATAATATAAACCTGAAAATCGAGTACTCAGCTTTGAGTAGTCAAGACTTTTATTGTGAAGTTGTTACCAATAGGCACAAAAGATTGATGTAGTAATCACTGCACAGTGCTGTTGTATGTTTAACCCTTTGTGTTCCGTGTTTATCATAGGAACAGGAATAATAAATTAATAAAATGTGAAACACGAACATATGTTACCTTGTTTTGCATTGTTTGCTCTGCTTATTATGCTTTCTGGAGTTTTCCTTTTCCTGTAGTTAGTGTAGGTTTTTGTGCATGTTAATGGTCTGGAAAAAAATAAAGACCTTTTTGAACATTAAAGCATGTAAACATGTCGCAGTAGGGGCAAAAAATACTAATATGAACCTGAACATTTGCCTCTTTAAGAAATTGTGTGCATTCTGTTCAAATAAATAAAGGAAGGTTCATGTGATTGTGTACGCATCTCTGCTATTTCAGATAGCTAAAAGTCACAAAAGAGTGAGCTGAATAAGCAACACAGACACAAAGAAAGACAAAAACCTTAAAACAGTGATTGAAATTGTAAATTACCATCTTTTATTTAACATATTTTCACATTATTTTTAATGACAAGCGTTCTTTTTTTAAATTTTCTTTCTTGTTTTTCAACACATCTATTCTATAGACATTCAGGAAAAACAGAAGGAACGAAGGGATTCAGGGGTTTAGATTTTCTTTTCTTGTTCTTTAGGACAAAGTCGGGATTTCAAGCATAAAGACAAATAATCAGAATCACATCAGAAAGGGAAGAAAAAGAGGGATTTAGAAACTGAGATACAGACACGACGAGGAGAAAAAGGAGACAAAGAGGGGATGAGGACAGAAGTGGGTGGAGTGCAGGTACTTCAGTGTCCAGGTGAGAGTGTGACGCAGCTGAGTGTGTAAGTGTTCTTGTGTTTGTGTAGTTTTCTTCTTTTTTCACTCAGTCCCTGAAACTGCTGTTTCTTTCTGCGGGTGCATCGTCCTCTTTTGGTGCTGAAAGTTGTATTTTCTTCATCTCTTTCAGTTGCGTTTCAGTCTACATAGTTCTATTATATTTCTACTTATTGTATTTCTACTTATTTATCTCTCTGTTTTTACAACAATAATCTTTAGGTCTATCCTCTGGCTGTACATGAACTATTCCTTTAAAACTACAGTAACAGTGCATGTCTGGCTTATAAATTAGATATTTCTATGGTATTCCCCTGCATGTGCGTGAGCGTTTGTTTAATCTGCTTACTCTATGAGTGTATGCATACACATCCCATCCTTAACTATCCAAAGTCCAGTGCATAATTCATTTTATGGGTTTTTTTTTTTTGCTTGTCTCTTTTGCTCATGTGTTTTCATGAATCTTCATGATCTTTCATTGTACATGGCTCAATGTTAGTTGGGTGTGTGTGCTTGTGTACGCGCGCGTCTGTGTGTGTGTGTGTGTGTGTGTGTGTGTGTGTGTGTGTGTGTGTGTGTGTGTGTGTGTGTGTGTGTGTGTGTGTGTGTGTGTGTGTGAGTCATTCCTGTCTGTCAGTTTCACAGGGCGCTGGGGTTCCTGAAGTTATGGCCTGCGAAGCGAGCCTGGTCGCCCAACTCTTCCTCAATCCTGCAGAGAATGAAAAACAACGAGGAAAGAGTTGAGAGAATTATTTATAGTTCTTAAAAGCATTTATCAATAACAAATGTCTCAAAAAAGAGCTTATCTCGACTGGACTACTTTGTTGCGCTTATTTTGCATAGCGCTCCAACTCATTGTACGTGATTAAGGGGTGGGACATCTCTAAACTGTTCATTAATCACAACAGAGCCGGCCAGCTAACCAATCAGAGCAGACTGGGCTCTGGTTTCAGACAGAGGGTGAAAAGAGGTGCTGCAGCACAGGCAGTATGAGACAAATAAAGAGCTTTTTTGAATATTAAAGCAGGTAAAAATGTCACAGTAGAGACACAAAATACAAATATGAACCTAAAAATGAGCCCCTTTAAAAAAGACCAAACGTGTGATGTCATCTCTCCGTAATTTCCGACTACCCATCCTTGGCAATACATACAAATAAAGAAGTTTTCTTGCTATTTAAACAACTGCTGATCAGTGGAATAGTAGGGCTTACAACAAAGCTCAACCAGTTTACTCCTGCTTTGTTTTCGGCAAATCCAATAACTCCATCCCTGTTAAGGATTAAAGGAGCAGAGATCAGTTCACTTGTCATGGTTGAAAGGCAAGATCCAGTTTTACTTGTCGCTAACAAGGGAGTAAAAGTCAGGCTGTCACCCCTCCTGCTTTTGACTTTGACGCTCCTTCAAATGTATGGAATTTCAATACTAAATCACTGGATTACTCTGTTAGAAAACATGTCTCCCTATGTGTGACAATTTGTCACAGTATAAATGGTTTATTTCTTTCTTGTGTGTCTGTACACTTTAGTGTGTGTTTGTGCATGTGTGTGAGAGTGTGTGTTTGTGCAAGCTTCACTGCACTGATTAGTTTTTATCGCTGGTTAATGCCTCTGTAAATCTTTCCACCCTCCACCTTCTTGTATCTCGTCAGCGGTCCGATGGGATTACAACACTGAGCCAATCCCACCTCCTTCCTCCTCCTCCTCCCTCTTCCCTTCTCCTCCTCCCTCTGCTGCTGACTGGCTCGGACACATGGGCTGACACTGGCGCTGCTATCACCTGTTACGTCAATTAGATCTGTGATGCTAAGCGCTAAGACAAAGCGTGAACCTGAGGAGCAGTGTTATACAGAAGCAGGGCCATCGCCAAATTTGGAGCCACAAGAAGATACTGAGAATGAAATATTAACTGAAGCAGCAATTCTGCCTGTAAAAGAAATGCTGAGAACATGCAATATTTAAACTTCCAATTTCACGATTTATCATTGATTCAATTAAGATTTGTATAGGTTAGTCTAGATCCTAAGACATTTTTGTAGCTCGACTAAAGTCTTGTGTCAGACCGTAGCTTCTCAGTGCAGCTAGGTGCCTTCTCCTCTGCCAAAGCCCCTCTTACCTGTGGGGTTCCCCAAGGCTCTATTCCGGGCCCCATCCTCTTTTTACTGTACATACTGCCCCTAGGTTCAATTCTCACAAAACACAATATTCCCTTCCACTGCTATGCCGACAATGTACAGATCTATTTGCAAAGCAAATGTCAAAGACTCACTACAGCAGTTGATGGACTGCTTAACAGAGATAAAATCCTGGCTGAGCAAAAACGTTCTCAACCTCAACGAGAGCAAGACTGAGGTCATCTTTTTTGGACCCCAACCTCCAGCCTCTTCGGTTGATATTCTGGGCTCTCTCAATAAAAACACCCTCCCCTCTGTCATGAACCTTGGAGTGACCTTCACTAGCACTTTTCAATTTGACAAGCAGGTCAGCACCGTAGTCAAATCCTGCTTTTTTTAAATAAGACTATTGGCCAAAACCAAGTTGTATTTATCTTTTAAAAACTTAGAAAGGGTTATTAATGCCTTCGTAACCTCAAGACTGGATTACTGCAACGCTCTGTATGTGGGTATGGACCAGGCCTCAATTAAACGCCTGCAGCTAGTCCAAAACGCAGCTGCACGTCTTCTGACTGGCCACAAAAAGCGTGACCACATCACCCCAATTCTGGCCTCACTACCCTGGCTTCCAATTCGGTTCCCAATTGATTTTAAAATCCTTTTATTTGTTTTTAAAGCACTAAATGGGCTGGCTCCTGCCTATATAGCTGAACTCCTCCATACACCCACCAGAGCTTTAAGGTCGGCTGACCAGCTGCTGCTGGTAGTGCCCAAGACCAGGCTCAAAACCCGGGGTCACCGAGCCTTCGCAGCAGCTGGCCCTAGGCTCTGGAACACTCTGCCCCTCCATGTGAGGTCGGTCCAGACCCTAGGGGTTTTTGAATCTACTCCTAAAACACACTTCTTCTCCCTGGCCTTTTAGTCAGAGCGGAGCATGACTCCTGACTTTTCCCTGTGTTTTCTATATATCTGTTGTAATTTATTGTCTATTATTGTGATTGTAGTAATGTGTTTTTATTACATGTACAGCACTTTGGCTCGACCAAAATCGCTTTTTAAAT